AACCCTTGGCTTGGTGTAGCCCGCACCGCGCTCAGCCAGTGAGCGCACCGGTCATTCCTATATAGGATCCGAACCTGGGCAGGAGCATAGCTGCGCTCCCAGCGCCGCACTCTCCCGAGTGCGCCACGGGGCCGGCCCATGACTGTCCCTTTTGTACAGAGCTAAAAATATGGCAGGACTGGCCTGTGCCTCCAGCTCACAGCAACAAGGCAGCCCAGAGCTAGGATTCCTTTTCTGTGTGCTACCAGCCAATGTGCCAGCAAGCCCTGCTCCTTGTTTGCCCACTATCAAGTGGAGGCACCTCTCCATCAGAAAATAAGTCAGGGCTAGGGCCGGCCCGTGGCTCACTCAGGAGAGTGTGGTGCTGATAACACCAAGGCCACGGGTTCGGATCCTAATAGGGATGGCCGGTTAGCTCACTGGCTGAGCGTGGTGCTGACAACACCAAGTCAAGGGCTGAGATCCCCTTACCGGTCGTCTTTAAAAAAAAAAAAAAAATACGGTAGGTCCAAGACATTTCCATAATTCTTTTTTTTCCTTTTTGTCTTTTTTACTGACTGGTAACGGGATCGCAACCCTCGGTGTCGCGCCCATACCGGGGACCGGCAACGGGATCGCAACCCACGGTGTTGTGCCCACACCGCGCTCAGCCAGTGAGTGGGAACTGGTCTCCACATGGGATCCGAACCCTCGGCGGGTGCGCCACCGAGCCAGCCCATTCCATAATTCTTTTTGTTGATCACTTTAAGAGTCAAAATTATGATGAAAAGTTTTTAAATGGTTTTCTGTACATTTCAATTCTCTTAATCAGCACTGTTCAATAGAAATTGAAAAGCCAGCCATTTTACAATTTAAGTTTATAACTGCCTCATTAAAACAAGGAGAAACAGGTGAAAATAATTTTAATGATATAGTTTAACTCAATGTATTCAAATTATTCAATATACTGAATTACTTCAAAAAGTTCACAAAAAAATTGAATTAAAAGATAATATGGTTAGAGTGTGATGCTGATAACACCAAGGTCAAGAGTTCAGATTCACTACCAACCAGCTGCAAAAAAAAGATAATATGAATCCTTCCACGAACTTTTTTGAAAACCCCTCATATTGAAAATATTCAGTATGTCCAAAATATTAACAATTTCAACATAAAATCCACACTGAGATTTGATATTTTTACATTCTTCTTTTGCAGTAAGTCTTTGAAATCTAGTGGCTTATTTATGCTTACAACGCATCCTAAGTGCCTCCTAAGCATTAGCCTTTCCCCTAACAGGATAAACTGTGTGAAGCACTTTGGGAAAGTGTCAGGTGGAAGATATTTTTATTAACCAACTTAAATAATTTTCGGCACCCACATAAGAGTCACTACAACTGTCACCTTTGAGGAGCAGGAGATGGAGACTTGAGGACCTCAGGCCAGGGGTCAAGGGTGTAGACCGCCCCTTTCTTGCTCACTCTGTGGGCAGAGGACATCTTGGCATCACTGAACACGCACACTCACAGGCTCTTCTGCAACCCGCTAAACTCCAAGCTGGAGTGTGTGCTTGGTGCTAGGTCTGAGTTTCCCTTTATCTCACCTTCCTCCAGAAGCAAGAAGGCTTCTAGAAACTGCAATGAGGCAGGCTGGCAAGGTCCCTGCTTCGGGGATAATGCTGAGGAAGGCACTGAGAGGCAAAGGGGACTTTGTAGAAGACAAAACAACATGAACGTCGGGACCAGCCAGTCATGGTTCCCAACTCCCTCACTTATGGGGTTCTCTGATCTCCCTGAGACTGGTTTCCTCATCTTTAAAATGGGGTAATCACAGCACCAACTCCTTGGGATTGTTTGAGATGACAGGCTAAATGCTGAGGGCCTGGCATGAAGGACAGTGACCATGCGTAGCTTGTTACCTGCTGAAGAGTCTCCCAGTCTCTGCCGAGCCACCCTTCTCAGGCCACCCTGGGACAGACCCTGTCGGCGCCCTGCCAGGTCATCTCAGATAGTTCCTGCATCTCTCTGTCTGAGGATGTTCCCCAGGAAGCACGACGGGCCTGCAAAGGGCTGCAGGTGAACAGCAGAACTGCCTAGGAGTTGAGGGTCCCAGGATGGACCCCCAAGCGAGGAAGGATGGAGATTCATAGAGCAATGCCCCAGCTTCCTCACTCCTCGAGCAACCTGGGTGCATTCCATATGGTTCTCCAGAGGCTCCCCAGCGGGACTGAGCCCAGTTGCCCACAGTGACAATCCATCATTATTAACACACTCTTATTGGCTGTCTCCCCCCAGCCCCGAAATGCTCCCCCCACTCCCTCACTGTACCTCCTGGGGTCATCCCCAAATCGCTGCTCATACCTGAATCCTTGTGTCAGCACCTGCTTCTGGGGCAACCCAAATGAAGACACGCCCCACGTGCAGTGCCCTCCCTCCTCCGCTCCGGCCATGGAACTCTCGTTCGTCCTTCAAGGCCCAGCTGAAAGGCCATCTCCTCTGAGAGACCTCCCTGGTACGTCGTCAAAAACATACACTTCCAGGACTCCCCACTGGCATGTGTCACTTCTGTCTGCCACATCTGCTGTTTCATTTGGGTCACAGCCAAATGTTGGCATTATTTCTCCCTACATCGGCTGAGATCTCCACTAGCACAGAGGGGAGTCCTAGGGCCTGTCACACACCAGGTCCTCAGGAAACCTCCACCAATCGCGGCAACTTTTACTACTAATCATAGTGAAGATTTACTAAGCACCTACAATGTGCAATGCACTTTATATGCAACCTGTGCTCCCAAACTGCACAACCATCCCTTTAGGTGATAGGTATTAAAATCTTCATGCCCATTTCAGAGATGGGAAAACTAAGGTGGAAGGATAAGTAATTTAGACAAAGTCTCACAGTCAGCTAGCTCAGATGTGAAGTTCTCAACTACCATGTGACTGACTCCATTTACATTCTCTTCTCCGAGAAGCCACCAGTCCCCTCATGTTAACTCAAGCACAGATGAGGCAATCCCGTCAGCTCAGTGTTCACTCCACCTGAAAGTACCGACAGCCAGCCACGCTCCTTGAGTCCCTCCACTTTGTCCTAGAGGCCAGGGTCCGGGGAGTGACTACAGAGTCCCCCAGGCAAGCAGCAGAATAAACAGGCCACACCCTCCAAGACATCTTCAGAGAGAGACAAAGAGCAAGAAACCCTCCAGGGCAACAACCAATGACAAATGACTTAACGAGTGGTTCCACCCCTCCTGCCTTGCGTGTAGGCTGTCTACAAGCCCGGCTTTGCAGCCACTCCGTGGGTCCATTGACAGCCTTAGGACCTTCCATCCCCTCCTGGACTCTCCGCCACCACACCACTCCCTAAGCATTCTCCCCACCCCAACCTATCTACCAGCCTGGCCCCGCAGAGGTCAAAGTTCTACCAGAGATTCACTGGTACTAGGGATTAAAAAAAAGAAGGCTTACAGCCAGTCCCAAAAGAGTACACATTATAGGATTCCATTTATATCAAGTTCAAACACAGGCAACAGTAATTTATGCTGTTACGAGTCACCATAGTACTCCTTGGAGGGAAGGAGGGAATGACTGGGAGGGGGGTAGTAACTCCTGGGGGCTGGAGATATTTTGTTTACTGGTCTGGGCACTAGTTGCATGGGTGTGTTGACTTTGTAAAAATTCCTAAAGTCACTGATCTGGGCACTTATGATCTGTGCACTTTTCTGGATGTACAAGTATGGTACACTTCAGTGAAGAGTTCACTTTAGAAAGTTTCTTAAAAGGAAGAAAAGAAAAGAAACCTTTTAGTATGCCAGCCCACTCTCTGAGGTGGAAGACACTCTTCCCAGGTCAGAGAGGCAGCTCATGGCCAGTACTCTGAGAACTATAAAGCACAAAAAAAAGTACAGAAGAAGAGAGAATGCATTAGACCTACAAGGAGCCCTATATGGAGGCTGAGTAGCTGGAGTCCCATCTGCAGGGAGGAGTGGGCATTTTCCCATCCCTACCAAAATGCCAGAGGATATCCTAAACCCTGAAAGGGCTTGAGGTATCAGGGGGACACATATAGCAAATTCCATGAGGGTGGGTGGCAGCCTGGGGGGATCGCATGGGACAGAATGGGATGGGTTGAAATGAGATGAGATGGGATGGGATGGGATGGGATAGGATAAGGACCCAGATTGTGAGAGGCTTTACATGAATCCCATCAAAATGAGAGATGAGAAGTCTCGATTTCATTCTGCCCAGAGTTGGAGGTTTACTAGTTGAGAAATGGCATCCTTAGACTTCTCCTCAAGGGATCACTCTAGCAAAGGTGTGTACTGTTGACCTCAAGCAGAGAAGCCTGGAGGCTAGATATTTCTAAGATAAAGGTCATGAGGCTCCTGACCAATCAGATGGGTTGAGAGACCAAAGGGCACCCCCAGGACTGAAGTTGGTGAGCACCCAGATCCATACTTCATAAGCCAGGAAACTGAGGGAGCCCCAAGGAGAGGAAGATGCTTGCCTGCCAGGCTCAAGTAGGAGGCTCAGGTCGACTGTAAGTGAGCTGAGCGTTTTCTTCTTTTGATCTCTTAGGAGGAGCATTATGCCATTCTGAGACAGGCTTACTTCCTAAGAAAGAAGCACAAAGTACTTGCAGTGGGACCATGAGAATGACATTCTAGCAGCCAAGACCAAGGGGCTGAACTATGACACCCCCAGCCTTTGTGCTGTGCATCGTAGTCTCCAATACCTCCAGCCACTGATGTGCTTGAGCCTCATGAGAACTAATATCACCATCCCCATTCTACCTGGAAAAAACATACTACAGGAAGTGGCTTGCCTGGCCCAAGGTGACACAGCTGGTAGGCAGCAGAGTCAGGAGGTGAACTCATATGGGCTGGCTCCAAGGGCCCCGTCCTGTGATCCTTCTAAAGATGCCACACTGTGCCACATTTTTGACTTGGTTCTTTGGAGAGAAAAGACCAGGTGCTCTCGGCCAGAAAAACATAACCGAGAGCAGGGCACACACCCCCTTCCTCACCTGTGTGCGTGCGGACGTGCCTCTTCAGGTCGAAGGTGTCGTTGAAGCCCTTGCCACAGAAGGTGCACAGGTGCCTCTTTACCTGGCTGTGGCACTTGAGGTGACGGTTGAGCATGCGCTGCAGGCGGAAACCCTTGCCGCATAAGTCGCAGCTGTGAACCACGGCGTCGTTGCATATGCCTGTGGTGAACTGGGAGCAGAGAGAGGCCATGAGGGTCCCAGTGCAGGCGGGCACATTCCAGTGGGCTTACTCAGGAGACCTACCTCCCTGTGTCTCTGGGCTTAGCCTGCTTGTCACTTCTGCTCCATATCAATTCTAAGCCCATTTTGGCTTTGTTGTTGCCAATGACAACTGTCAGGTCCTGCCAATGTCCATTCTCCCCTTCTACCTTAGAACAGACCTCTGACTTCTGGCTGGGCACACTGCCTTACAATGGCCTTACAACAACTCATGGCCATGTGACTACCTGGCCAATGAGACAGAAATCTCTTTGTAGGGAGAGGTATGGTTCCTGCTGACAAGAGCTCCACGTCACCTTGGACCACAAGGTGGAAGCAATTGCTGAGGATGGGGGAGCAGAAGAAAGGAGTCTGGGTCCTGATGACATCATGGAACCTGTCACGGATAGTCCCCCAAAATGGCCACCATCAATTCCTTCCTCCCTATACCTGCATGCTGCTCCACACACCCAGAGATGGAGACTATTTTCCCTCCCCTGGAATCTGGGTAGGGCTTACAACCACTGGGACCAATAAAGTACAGCAATGATGTGTCAGTTCCAAGTCTTAAGGGACCTTGCAGCTTCTACCTACTCCCTTATGGAAGCCAGCTGCCATGTGAGAAGTCCAAGGCCACCATGCTGTGAGGAAGCCCAAGCTAGCCATGTGAAGAACCAGAGGCTATGTGGAGGAGCGCTGAGATGCCAGATATGAACAAAGCTTCATTGGACCTTCTAGCCCAGTCCAAGGCTGCCACCAGCTGAGTGACCCTAGCCAATGCTACCCAGAGTAGAATTGTCTAGTCTAGCCGAGCCATGTCCCAGTTTCTGACCCACAAAATCATTAACAAATAGAATATGTCTTTGGGAAGTGAGTCGGTTAGGAACCCATTGCTTCGTGATCAGCAAAACCATAACCAAATCCCTGTTTCTGGATTCACCGTCCGGTGTTCTTTCAAGCACTTTTGCTGCCTCAAGGGAGAAAACTGAATTTATATCTATGAGATGAAAAATATCAAAATTTGATGCACTCAGAGGTTACCAAATCAGATTGTTTAGAAGATGAATCCAATTGCTCTGCCAAATTCTGTTCATAAAAAGGCATTTTATTTTCACACAAACATCATTAGCAAGGAGAGCTGCTCCCTTCCTGGCTCCACACTCTCCCAGCCTCAAATACCCACCTCCTTCCATCCACCCTGGGCATTGCCCTCCACCAAGACCCAGCTCAACCACTCCCTTGCTGACGCAGCCTTTTCCAAATGCTGCAGCCCACGCCCACACCGTTCACTGTCCGCCTTGGACCAGTGCCTCTCAGACCCAGTGTGCCCACCCATGCATGCCTTGGGGGTCCGGTTAAGATACAGGTTCTGACTCAGGAGGTCTGGTGGGGTCTGACCAGCACTGAGGAGATGCCACCGCACTGGCCCATTCACTATGCTTGAGAAGGAAAGCTAGAGCGTGAGCCCTCACAGCGTCCGTACTTCATTCCATCTCGTTCCGGAGGGTTCATCACACACGCACTGTCCTGAGTTCATCTGGTTTCCTCAACACAGCACCCACAGTCAGCAAGTGTCTGTTCGCATTCCTGCCTTCCTAGCCCCACACCCCAAGCCTAGCCTGGGGCCAGTGCGCAGTCAGGGTGTGTTGACAGGCAGTTGGGGCAGGTGGCAGGACGCAAAGAAACTCAGGCGAGGCATGCAACCCCAGAGCAGGGTTTCCTCACCCACCAGTTCATTCGCAGTTGCTCAGAGCTTAATTTGTCTCAACCAACAGTGACAAGTGCCTGATCTGTGATAAGCCCTGTTCTCAGAGCTGGAGGCTGTACAGTCACCAAGACGGTTTGTCCCCGACAAGCTGCCACAGTCCAGAGCAGGGCAGACAAGTCAACAAGCCCTTGACATCTGAGAAGCCCAGGGTTCAGTGGGCACCTTGGAGGGTACCTACCCTGGGCGTGGAATGCTAGGGAAGATGATTGCAAAGGAAGTGAGCTCCTGAGCCAGGTAAAGATAAGGAGGAAGAGAGGGGACATGGCAAAGAATACTCCAGGAGAGGACAGTGGGAAACAGAGAACTGTGCATGGTTTGGCATGGCCAGCCTGAGCCTCAAAAAGCAGTTAAAGAAGAGAGTAGAAGCAGCAGAGAAGGGCAGGGTCCCCTACGGGGTCTACGTTGGGGACCCTAATGGAGGTGAAATATAAACAGAGGACAAGAGGGAGCCACTGGAAGACAAAAGAGGGCAGCCACAGGGGCTGAACTTGATGACCCAGTTGGGTGGCTGTCCTGGCCCCCAACTGCCTCACACCCCAGAGCTGCTACTGTCTCACCTCTGCCCTGCCTCCCCAAAGGGGTAGGGCCTGGCCCTCAGCCTGAAGGAGACCTGCTGTGCCCAGGGCTTTCCTATCACCAGGATGGGTCACGGTCTCCTCCTTGTCCACTAGTCCCCATTCTGGTCATTGCCTCCCTGGAAGAAATGTGAAAAGACTAAATGTAAAAAGACTAGCTGAGCTTCCCAAGGCCAAGTCTATACATGGTAAAGGTCAATTGAGAGGTAGTGACAGTGACCGGCTAGTGAAATAGAACATAGATAATGGATCATGATAACACCAATTAAACATGTGTAAAGAGCTAGAACTGTCTTTTAAAATTTGTGTAGAATGTGCCTCAGGACTTGACAACCACAATTCAAACCTGATATTGCTTAATATTTTGGGTAAATTCCTTTTTTTTTTTTTTTTTTTAAAGATGACCGGTGAGAGAATCTTAACCCTTGACTTGGTGTTGTCAGCACCACACTCTCCCAAGTGAGTCATGGGCCGGCCCTGTAAATTCCTATTTTTAAAATGCTCTGCATGTAATATGGGTACCTTTTGTTACAGTCCAGAATAAAAATCTCAAATCACTGGCATTATTTGCCTGAAAAGAATAAAATCTTGAAGGGTACAGGGAAAGGAGATTACTGACAATTTAAGGGAGTGCAGAGCCATCAGATCATCTGACCAAGATACAGAAACCTTTTTAAAACTGGACAGCTGGGGCCGGCCTGTGGCTCACTGGGGAGAGTGCGGTGCTGATACCACCAAGCCAAGGGTTAAGATCCCCTTATAAAAATAAATAATAAAACTGGATGGCTGGCTGACTTGTTCTCAGGTAGTCAGAGCACAGTGTTATAACACCAAGGTCAAAGGTTTGAATCCCTACACCAGCCAGCCATCAAAACCAAAATAACAAACAAACAAACAAAAGGGGGAGGATAGAAAATGGGAATGGGGAGAAGGCGCTGGAGACTGAGGGTGCCTCATTCCCAAGGGCACCTTTCCTCTGATTTTCTTAGAGCAAAAGTAGAAATTCCCCCAGTATCCCTCAGCAAAGGCAATTTTCCCATTTCTCCATCTTCACATACATTCCCATTTCACAGCACGGAAAACTGAGTCACCACAAAGTAGCTCACTTAGGGAATTCACCCTGAGATGCACCCTCAAATCCATGAAGCACTGCTTGCCACCCTTATGACCAATCCAACCACCAGACATGAACGAATTATATTCAAAGCCTTAAGAGAACCTTGTTGAAAGACATAAGGTTGATTAAATGGCAAAAGGCCATGGCTGATGAAGCCAGCTCCTGCCAGACTATTTCACTTCTCAGAAAGGAAGGGATATTTGTAGGATAAATTCCTGAATATGAAATTTATCCCAAAAAGTATATTTCACATGACTCGTGCCTTGAAATTTGGTCTGAAACAGAAAAAAATCTAGAAACTACCTTCATGTCCATCAATAGGGACTTATTGAAGAATTTTGGTAGAACCATACAATCAAAGCAGCTGGAATAGGTAAGGGGCAATAGGCAGTTCACAGATCACCTGCCAGCCACGTGAGTAGACAAACCATCTTGGATGTCCAGCCCACGCAAGCCCCAGAAGACTCCAGCCCAAGCTGCCATCTGACTGCAACCTCAAGAGAAACCCCAGGCAAGAGCCACCTAGCTGAGCCCAGTCATGCCATAAAGTGGAAGATACAGTAATAAATTATTTTCAGTTACTAAATTTGTGGTTATTTGTAAAGCAGAAATAGATTCACTGGACCAGTAATAGACATATCACATTCTCTCTAGAACACCAGATCTGCCACATTTCTACGTTTCTCTCCCAGGATGGGCTGCATTATACCGAAGACCCTTCTGATTCCCGGAATGATGTCCTGTGAGACAGAGGACCGGTTCTCCCTCACCAGATCATAAGTCTGCTCACCAGGCCACTTTAATTATGTTTACACAGATTATAGCTAACACTCTACCTCCTAAAAGTTCAAAAAAGCATGAACCAAATTTGCCTTGTGACTCCACTCTCTACAAGTTGTAGACCAAACTTAATTACCTCTTAGTTATGTTAGTTATGAAATAATCATGGAATGGAGAGACAAGAAATGCTGAAGGATCAAAGAAAAACCTAGACCTGGCTAGTTGTGTGATGTGGGATGTCACTTAACTTCCCTAGGTCACAATTTCCCTATCTGTAAAAATAATAAAATGGTAATCAGACGATCTCTTCAGCAGCATAAGAAGCTAAAAGCAGGGTCTGTTTCCCAACTTCTAAAGTTCAATTCCTACTCCACCACTTACAATCTGGGGGATGTAAGCAAGTTATTTAACCTTTCTAAGCCTTAATTTCATCACCTGTAAAATGTGGAAAACAATGATATTTGCCTTTTGGAAATAAACTAAGGAATTAAATAAGGAAAGCAACTTAAAAGGACCTGGTGTTGGATAAGTTTTATATTAGTTAGATCAGCTCCAGAATTGTGTGATCCTAAATAGAAGGTAATGGGTCAAAATCCCTTGTTTCTCTATTTGCTTTTGAACTTTTCTCTCTTGATTGAAGGAAAAGGGAACTAACCTTCAGTGAGATGTGAAACCCTAGTTCTTCACCCAAAGACAGCTCTGTAATCCAAAAAGAAAAATCCAAAAAATCC